CAAGGGCAAGGCTTCCCATGTGGCACCAGTGGTAAAGAATCCGCCTGCCAACGCAGGAGACCTGGGTTCTATCCCTTGGTTTGGAAGATATTGTGGAGGAGGAAATGGCAACCCACTCCGGTACTCTTGCCTGAAAAGTACCTGAAAAGCCTCTTGCCCCCAAACAGAGGCTGGCAGGCTACATACAGTCCATCGGGTCACAGAGTCGGACACGACTGAGTACGCACAAGCATAAGCAAGCCAGGGTTGAAACTGACCGTTGAGTCCTGCAGCTGAAGTCCTGCTATGTCCGAGGCACCTGCTTGATGCTGAGAGACATAAGGGGAAGCCACAGTCCCTGCCCCCCAAAGCTCTCCTCTTTGGGTGGATGGTGGCTGAGAGGTGTTAAATATGCAAATCCATGGCACTTGAACATCAAAAACTAGACACAGACAGGCTTATGATGTCAGTGCACATATTGAGTGCCAACTGTATACAGTGGAAACTTTTTTTTAAAAAAGCAAATGCTGGGACCACGCTTCCACTGCAGGGGATACAGGTTCAATCCCCGGTGGGGGAGCCAAAATCTCACTTGCTGTCTGGTGTGGCCAAAAAAATAAAGAACAAACGTTGAAGACTTTCTGGGAGTCATATAAATCCCCATAGCAGGTCAGTAGTTGTTGGGTGAATCAATGGGTAAAAGGGCCTGGGAAGAATTTCTAGAGGAAGACTGGCTTTGAAGGACAGGTGAGGATGTGATGGGCAGTGCTGAGATTTGGGGGCGTGAGGAATAGAAGGCATTTCAGGCAGAGGAAACAGTGGAAGTCGGAAGCAACCAAGTGCATTGGGAGAATGGGAATGACTCAGACAGAAGCTGGAGTCTGATTGGAGGACTGGGAGAGGAGGGTAGGCTGGGACCAGCAGGAGGGGCCCCTGGCTGGCCGGCACTCGGGTGTCTGCTGGCTCCTGCTGACTGGCAGCGTGGGGCCGGAGCGCTGGGGCAGGAGTTGTGATCCAGGGCCGTGCCTGTCTCAGAAAGGGGAGGGGGCGAGGCATCTCACAGGGTGACTAGTCCCCACTACTGCCGTAGGTAACGCAAAGCCGGGTCTTCTAGGATAACTTCTTGGTTCAAAGACTGAGGGCTGGGAGGCCATTTAAGGTGGAGTGTCCATCGGTCAGGGGAGCCAGAATCAGGACCTGGGCCAGAATGGAGGTGGTGGCTGAAGGTGGCATCTGGGAGGTGACCGAGAGGGCTGTGGAATAAGGGGCGAGGAGGGGACAGCATGGGGCAGAGCGAGCTTGAGTGGCTGAGGCATCTCTGAGGTGCTGTCCTGAGAGGTTAACTCCCCTGGGTCACCCGGCAGTAAACCCTGGACCCCACCCCAGAGCCACTGGCCTGGTCTTGGCTCAGATGGCAGGGAAGGGCATCAGCTGCAGACGCTGCTGTCTGGCCTGCTGGGCGCCCCCGTGGCCACAGGGCTCTGTGGGTGGTGATGACCTAGAAAAAACTGCGGGAGCAACCTGGGGCAAGACCTGGGGAAAGCAGAGCCCTCAGCTTGAGCTCAAGTTGTGTCCGGCTCTTTATGATCCCACCGACTGGGGCCCACCAGGCTCCTCCGTCCATGGATTCTCCAGGCAAGAATACTAGAGTGCGCTGCCATTCCCTTCTCCAGGGAATCTTCACGACTCAGGGAAGGTCTGGGAAGCCCGGTTCACTCTACTGGAAAGGAAAGGCAAGGGCTGGGGGGGTCTCCAGCAGCAGTCCTGGGGATGGAGGGGGAGGGTGCCTGCAGTCCACATGGGCCCTGGCTCTGCTGGAGGAACCCTCTCGCCCCGCGGTCAGAGAACCCCCCCCGCGCTCCTCCTGATGTGCCGAGGCTGCAGCCAGTGTCCCCACGGGGCCTGCGCCCAGGGGCCGGGGACTGGCCGCCTTCATCTCTCTCTCAGGTTTGGTTTTTTACAAGATTGATTTATTAACTATGATACATATCACGTAAGGCCTTTTCAGTTTTGTACACCATTCCCATTGAGACAAGTACAATACTTTGTAGCAAATACATGATTTTAAAAAACAAAACCAGATGGAGAACACCTCAGCCAGAGGTGCTCAGCCTCTGCGGACGGCTGACCATGCACTAATCAGGATGGAGCCTCAAAAAACCCACCATGTGTTTAAAAAAAAAAAAAGTCTGGAAATTAAGCAAACATTCCTAACACCAACTAGAGGATGTCCTGGTTAAAGCCCCTAAAATACAAAGAAATAATTGTTATACTTTCTTTACATACAGTTCTCCACTTTTGCTGCAAAACAGAATTTTGGGCACACAGCCAGACTACTAACACATTTCAATACCATTAATGTCCCCCCCCCACCCTCAGGAAACTCAAAATATTTGTTAATCCAACATATATAAAGATCATTTAACATGTGAAAATACAAGTACCAGAAAAATAAGCTGGCAGCAGCACTATTCCAAATTTTCAAACAAGTTTTATTCCCATACAATTCAGACTTTTTTTTAAATGTACACAGGGAACATGATTCTTCTTAATGCAAACAATAATTTACGCCCTGTCTCGACTACACTGAGGTGTAACATCACTGCTGTTGGAGCTGGCCGAGGCGGGCTCTTGGGCAGGAGGTGTGCAGTCACCTCGGAGCCTCGAGGAGTCTGCAGCCAGCAGCCGGTGGAAAGACAGGACAGTGTTGCAGGCCCCTCCCCGCCCCAGGCCTTTTGCCGTGGGATCACCTTCTGCCGTGGGATCACCAGCAGATCTGACCTAGGTTTCCGGCACACACGACTCAGTCGTCCTTTCACCTAAGCATGAATGCGTGGCTTGAACCTGCCAAGCAACAGGAGGGCAAGACTTCCAGCCACCGTGTGCGGGAACTGGAGGCCCTGGGGGCAAGCGCCCTGGCTGTCCCCAGTGGCCAGCCCAAGTCCCTGGAGCCTCCTCCTCCTGGGAAGGCAGCCACTGACACCTGAGACAGCCCCCAAGCAGTGTGGATCTCCTTGCAGGAGAGGACGGGGGAGGGCACGGGTGGAGAGGAGCTCGGATCACAAGTGCTGCAGTGAACTGGTCTGACCTCCCGGCCTGGGGGCAGGCAGCCCGCCAGGGCCGCCTCCTCCACAGGAAAAACCAAGGTGAAGGGATGAGAGAAGGCGTGCTCTCCAGCCCCTTCTGGCCAGTGTGCTGCTCTGAGGTCACCCTCCGCCCACCCTGGCCAAGACACAGCCTGCTAGAACCTCACTGACAGCACACATTCAGGCTGAAGGAAAACCTGGGAAACAGCATTTTAGCATTCCTCCTTGAAAGGTCAAGTGTTGGGAAGAACTCAACAGAATGCAGGGACAAATGCACTGTGATACCCACATGCAACACAGCCAAGAACTGAGGGCAAACTCACAAGCCACAGCCCTAACCTTGAACCACTTCCTTTTGTGAAGCCTCCCTCCAGAGCCAGCCTAACACGTAGTCAGGGCTGTTTACTTCTGGCCTCAGGGTCTGCACCTTTGGGGATCTAAAGAACACTGGACGGGGAAGAGCTTCCGGGCGCCCCTATTTCACTGTGGGGCAGGGAACAAATCCCATACCCCCACCGACAGGCTTTCCCATTTTGGCCAAGGCTAATTAACACACCTGCCCCTCCCTCAATTCCTAGAGTTGTGGCTCCACTCACAAGAGAATGACCTGTGAAGGAACTTTGTAGAGCTTACCACACTAGATGAATGGGTGGGGTGGGCAGAATTCCAGTTAAGGTCAGTCTGCCCCCGCACACACCCACTCTCCTTCATGGGTCCCCCTCCAAGTGCCCATTTGGTCCAAATACCGACCACTCCCCGCCCCCCAACTAGCACTGCTGCCAGTGGGAATGCCAACTCGGAACAACCGAGAAACATCCTCCAAGCCCAAGCCAGCCTGAGAAGCAGAAAACGAGAAGTTAAGGGTTAGCAGAGGAAACAGAGAGGAACCCCTGGAACTTCTGTCCACCTGTGGCTCTTTGGGGAATGAGCCACGGTCCCCTACCTGTGGTTGAAGCCCTGGCAGGATTCCGGGTGGGGGTGGGGGTGGGGACAGGCCTGAGGGACCCCTGCAGCCTCCTGGGCTGCGGGACTGGAGGTGACCCCGTGGAGACGTGGAAGCCTGGTCTCTGCTACTCCCATAAGGGTTAAGGGTGCACAGCACAGGTGTCCACCCCTTACTGTGCCCTTTCTTCTTCCAGAAAAGTCACCAACCACTTACAGAACTGCAGTCTCAGGGAGGGGGTGGCGTGGGAAGGCAGGACAGCTGGGGGCTTGTCAAGCTCCTGGTGCCGAGCCAAGGCTGCAGGTGGCGGTGTGGCCCAGGGTGCCAACACAGAGGGGGCAGTGCAGACTGGGCCATGGGAGGGAAGCAGGCCTCTTCTGCTTTAGCTGACACATGGGACAGTGGTCCAGGCCACTCTCACAGCTTGCCTTCCACCCCCACCCAATACCTTGATGGGCCGCCTGGGAATAAGCGAGCATGACCTAGGAAAAGGCTGAGATTAGTCAATGGAGTAATTTGTGCACCTGCTTGGGGCTCAGCACGGGGGCAGCTGCGGGGCTAGAGAAGCAGGAGTCTGCCGACCTCAAGTCAAAACTAAGCAACACCCACCTCCAGCCAAGCCCTGCCTGAGAAAGCATCAGAAACAGATCTGCCAGAAGAGAAGGGGTCTGGCCTCCGACATCGACGTCAGATGTTCATGTACCTTAGGTTTTCTGACTTGTGTCCTTGAGGAGGCGGTAAAATGCGCAGGAAACATGTGTTTTTTCCAAGCACCTTATTTTGCTGTACAAGAACTAGAAGAGACAGTGCGACATCCAGCTTATCCAGAGGAAGAGTCGGTGAGCACAGGGCCTGGCCCGCCCTCCAACAGCCAGCGGGAAGCATCTGGGGCCAGGGGTGGGCGAGACTGTTCTGAGGCATCTCTCACTTTGTCAGGCCGCCTTGGTGGAGGCAACCCAGGGCAGCCTCGAACATACCACAGGTGCTGCTTCTTAAAGTGCAAAGAGACCCGGAGGACTGTGGGGTGGGCGGGCCTCCACCCCACGCCCCCACGCCCAGGGTACCTTAGCCTGGCTTCTCCACTGCGGAGGCCACGGCCCAGCCACGGGATGGGGGCAGCCGTTATCTGTAGCAGCCTTAGCAGGGTCGCTGTTGGGGGTGGGGTGGGGCGGGGCAGAGGGCGCATAATAAAGAGGGATCTTCCAGGGGCCAGTGGAAAGGCCAGGAAGGGCGGGGGACGCCATGGAGGATGGTGATGGGCAGGCACACCGCCTCATCCTGACTGACCGCCTCTGTACCGGCAGCTCCTCTGGGCGCTGACGGCCCAGGAGCAGGAAGGTCGGCCCTGCACAGCACCGGCAACCGTCACACCCTTGGAGTCCCCTGACACGGCAAAACTTCCCATGGACAGCCCTGCTGGCCCAGGAGGAAAATGATTCTACTTTAACACCAAACACGCGGAACCAACCCCCACGTGCCTGCGGGCATCTCCTGCCGCCCGCCCCCTCCCCGCGCACGCACACAGGGGCGGTGTTGCCACAGCACCGCAGCGCTCCAAGGCAGAGAGGGGCCGGTGGCCCCCAGCTTTTCCTGCCGAGGGCTCGAACCATACACTTGGGGCCGGGGAGGAGGATCTAGTGACAGGACGTAGTGGGACCCCAACAGGCTCTCAGGCTGCCACCCCTGGGCGCCCGTCTTGCTGTCGGTCACAAAGACAAGGGTCGCCCTCCACTTGTGTGCCTCTTGGCAGAGGTGGGGAGAGCTTCATGTTGAGGTCTGTAGTTTTCTTCCTTTTCAAAAATTATTGGTGGAGGGATGCCTTTCCATTTTTCTTCCAGTGTTCTTTTGTTTTAAAGGGGATGGATCCCCAGACCTGTGAAGTGGGGCGGGGTGCACGGGGGCGGACGCTGCTCACGCTCCCTTGGTCCAGGCAGAGCTGCCGCCCCTCTGTCCTGACCTGCTGGGCCAATGCCCTCAGACGGGACTGTACCTCAGAGCGGCAGAGCCGGCCTTCATGTTCCCAAGGAGGCTGTGGGACAGGCCGCACCCCCCAAGGGTGGGGTGCAGACTGAAGGTGGGGAGCGCCGGGAGCAGCAGAGGGACGTGTCCTCGTGAGGGGCTGCTGGCCCTGCCCTGGGGCAGCTGGCCTTCAGGATCTCCTCCTCCCAGCCAGTGCCAGGCTCTGCCAGCGGGCGGAGGCCCCAAGGCTGGTGTGCACAGATGGTGGGGAGGGGTCCAGGGAGCAGTGAGGGTGTGGAGGGCCCCTGCCTGCCTTGTTTAGTCCTCAAAAGGGTCCACGTCACAGGGCAGGGCTCCCACCACGGCCTGCGGCCAACCCCAGGTCTACAGCGCTGGGCTCAGGGCACCAGCCGGCCTAGCCTGCGCCTTCTGTTGGCAGCTGCTAGCGCTGTGGGCTGGGGAAGGCATGAGAGGGGACCCTCCCTGCCCTGCCCCAGCAGGCCTGGTTCTGTTCAAGGCCCAGTGCCACCCCGTCAAGAGAGATGACCTTGTCTCCTTCAGCCCGAGGCCACAGGGGCTCACAGCGTGTGTTCGGCTTGAAGTTGGGAGGGGAGCAGTGGCTGCATGGGGGACTGGGGGGTGGGCGGAGGCGACTGGGGCGGCGACGGCTGACTTGTGACGGGCGTGGAGGTGAGGAAGGGCACGGTGGAGGCCAGGGCAGAGGGGGAGCTGGGCGCGGCACCAGGGGGCTCACTGATGGGCCGGTTGTGGAAGAAGAAGGGGCACTGCTGGATGAAGAGCTCGATGATTGTCTGGTAGGTGCGCGTGGCTGTGAGGGCGTCCATGGTGCTGAAGTCCGGCCTCATCAAGGTGGGCCAGAAGCAGATGGACAGGTTCTCACTGGTCATGAGGTTCACCTTGTTGTTGTGGCTGACTCTGTGGGCGACACCAGACTCGAGGTCAGAGCTCCGGCCACCTGTGCTCATGGTCACCACCTCCCCAGCTGCTCTCCTGCCCCGACCCCGCCCCGCAAGCTGAGAATTGCAGAGGCCCCAGGTCTGGGAGTCAAGGCCCGAGCTCCCCTGGCCCCGTCCTCTGAGGCCCCCGAAGTGGGGGACACTGCTCTGGCTGAGCAGAAAGGCAGCGTGTCTGTCCCACAGCAGGGTTCATATACCACTACTCTTGACGAGAGAGGAATAGGTCTGGCTGGAAAACAACCCTATTCTGGGAGAAAAGGCAGGAACGGACCGCGGCTCCCTGCACGTGCTTCCCTGGCTCCTGTTCGCTGTTTCCCACGGGACACCTGACTGGGCCCAGCGTGTGGTCATGCCGGTCAGGGCGCACGGGTCCTGGAGATTGCGCTGCGGGTGGGCTGGGGGCTGTGTGGGCCTTTCTCAGACAGAAGCAGGACAGAGCCTGAGAAGGAGGAGGGGCCAGCACCCGACAAGCGGAGGACAGAGCCCCACTCCGGTTCCTCCTGCAGCCAACTGGCCCTGACTGGAGGGTTTCCAAGGAGGGGAAGACAAACAGCAAGCCCTGCAACGTACTTGTTCAGGTGAGAGATGACGTATTTGAAGACTTCATGGTTCTCTTTTGGAAACTTCTTGAGTACCTCCTTCAGGGCATGTAACTTCTGCTCCCGGTCATTGATTTCTGAGGAAAGAGAAAACCAAGACCATGGCTGGTGGGCCTGGGGCTCAGATTAGCTACTGGTCCTGGGCAGCAGGGAAGAGGCCATGCACTGTGCCTGCTCTGAGGGCAGCCCAACCCCATCCTCTCCCCACAAGCTGTGCCCCGGGCGGGCCCACCTGTCAGTGGCATGGGCCCATGCCTGGGCCCACCTCCGTGTCCCCGGCCGCTGCTTCTGAAGGGGGCCACTGTACGCCCAGGCCCGGGCCCACCTCCGCGTCCCCAGCCACTGCTCCTGAAGGGGGCCACTGTACGCCCAGGCCCGGGCACACCTCCGCGTCCCCGGCCGCTGCTTCTGAAGGGGGCCACTGTACGCCCAGGCCCGGGCCCACCTCCGCGTCCCCGGCCCCTGCTTCTGAAGGGGGGCACTGTACGCCCAAGGCTTCCTGGCCCCCATGATCCAGAGATTTTCCATGAAGGGCACCATTCTTTGCTCATCCGGTTGCCCTTGGAGACGGGCATCCCAATGCAGAGCGCCCGCTGCTTCCTGAGCAGACGAGTGAGCACCCCCGCCTACCCGCGCCAACAGTCTCGGGAGGGAGGGAGTCACGAGACCAGGGCTCTGTCCTTTCCCTAGAGTCAGAGACCCTCCACGCATCTGCCCTTTGGAAGAGCTGATGGAAACGGTGAGGAATTCTTACAGAGTTTATCAAAAGGACTACGTGTCCCCTTCCCCCACTGCTGCTCATAGCTTGCCCATCGTGGAATCCCAGTGTCCTGAAACGGAAAAGTTAGCCCAAATGAAACGCTTCATTCAAGCCAGGCCTGCATCGGCAAGTCCTCACGATCCTAGGAGGCTGGGGCTCTTATCACCTCAATTCCAGGATAAGGAATCTAATGCTCAGAGAGGTGGCAGCAATCAGCCTTTTGGTCTGGGAATCAGACCCTGCCCAAATGGCTGCAGAGTCTGGGTAGGGACCACCGTGCTTCCCAGGGTCCTGGCACCCCCTTCTTGAGTGGACCTGGCCTGCCCTGGAGGCGAGAGTCGGTCTGGGCTAGCAAGACGAGAATGGTCTGGGGTTGACCTGGTTGAGATCTGAGTGTGGCCACTTGTCAGAGCTGAGGCCCATCTCGAGGCCCCCAGGGCTCGTGAAGCTCACAGGAGGACCCCGTGAAGAGACGGTGCAGGTGGGTGGGGGGACAAGGCGTTCATTAACAAATACAGTGGCGCCTAACTGCTTTGCGGCACAGGCTCCTGTGGGTGGACGAACGCTCTGGATCCTCTTCCACAGATAAACCATGCACAGGTCTGCCTACATCTCTGGAGCTTCCCAGACTCTCCAAACCCATGTGTTCTTCAGGAAACCTGTGGCCTCCTAGTTAAGGACTCCTGTAGAAAGTGACATGCCCCAGAGGCTCACGGTCTAGGCAGGTGGGCATGAGGAGCCTCAAGTTAGACTGGGAAAGACAGACGGAACATCAACGGTGGCGGGAGCAGTGGGAGGAAGGGTCATGCGGTCTGGATCCTGTCTGTAACACCAGCCAGCTCTGAGATGTCGGGGACGTGACTCTGAGCGGCTATCTCGTCGTCTGTGAGAGGCTCAGGACAGCGCCTCCTTCACTTGGCGACACCACGCTCTGACATGCAGTGCTCACAGCCAGACACACACTCAGCACCTGGGAGCAAGGCTGAGACTCGGAACCAGTGAAGAGGACGCTGCAAAGACGGCCAGGATGGAGCTACTGAGAGCAGGAAACCGGCAAATGTTAAGACTTGAGAACATGGCTTGATAAAAACAGTGTTTTAGTAACCTAAAACCCACAGGAACTAATTATGTGCTGCCATTATCAGCTTCGTTTCTCTGAACCCAAGATTTATTTTAAGGGCTCAACATCAAGGGCACACTTTTTTTTGTCTGGCCTTGAGTTTCAAAATCCTTCACTGTTAAGTTTCAATAAAAAGCAATGCAGTGAACTGCTCAGGGTGAGAGCGGGGCTGGGAGGATAACAACTGTCCCGGAGAACACGAGAAGCATGCGCATGGCGCGGAGTCTCACTTAATAAACCAACTGTGCCCTCTTCCAGATGCAAGCTTGGCACGGGCCTCTCCTAGGTGCCTGCATGACAAAAACACAGCTGTGTTTGTTTTAATCAAGCACTTGAGCAGCAGCACCTTCATGTAAGAGCCCGGCCTCACCCGTCCTTCCTGCTGGAAGCAGGAAACAGGGCCGATAATGTCACTGCCTGCCCGGGATGTCCCTCTCCTTCCTCTCCACTGGGCAACAGGACAGCCGACCCTTCTCTCTCTTCCTCGCAGGGGTGGGGGAAGTGGAGATTACAGCGCCTGCTTGAATGGAAATTCGAGGACCACCCTCAGGCATGCCAGCCTCCCTTCGCCTCCTGGCGCAGTGCCTCAGCAAGGTGCCTGAGCAGGACCCAGATGGCCGCGCGTCCTGGGAGCGTGGAGACAAACCGTCTCACTCTCCCTGCTGGCCGCGCGGGCAGGTGCTCTGAGAGCTGGGGAGCACCGAGACCCTGGCAGGAGGCAGGGAGGACGGCAAGGGGAGCAACGGGAGGCCTCCCAGCGCAGGGCCGGACCCTGTGTCTGCCCCACGGAACACGGCCACCTCGAGGACAGCCTTCTGACTTGTCCTGACTTGACTTCCCGCGTGCAAGCAAAGCCCAGCAGTGCTGGGGACCCGCTGTGGGCTCCACCTGGCAGCCTTTTCACGGCAGTCCCAACATCAGTGGCGTGCTGCCCAAGGGCTGGAATGTTGGCGGGGCAATGTTCCATGGGTGCTCTCTGGGAAACCCCCACCCGAGGGGAGGTGGCGCCGGTGTGTCCCACATGCTGCCTGAGAAAGCCCACCCAAGAGGTAACAGCCAGGCCACGGGGCTGGTGAGGGGGAAGGGGGGCACCCAGTTCCTTCTCCAAGTTCAGCATCCCTGCTCTGATCACCTGCCTGCCGCCAGGCTCTGAGCCCCTGCCAACTTCAACAATCCTCTTCAAAAGGGGTAAGGC